TATAATTATTTTTATAAAAAAATTATAACATAAGTATGTTATAAAATCACTACAAAAATAGCCATTTTGTTTCAAGGATCGTTAATTAATCTGAAACTTTTAAAACCATTTATTTTATTTTCAACATCATCACTTGATAAGACACAGAGTGTGTTGAAACAAAATGGCCATTTTTGTAGTGATTTTATAACATACTTATGTTATAATTTTTTTATAAAAAATAATTATATATATATATATATATATATATATATAGATATAGATAGATAGATAGATAGATAGATAGATAGATAGATATAGTACTAAAATATTTTTATTATAATAGATTACAATAAAAACTTTTTACATCTCTACGCAAAAACTTCCATGTTTCAGAACTACAATCGTTCCTCTTTGGACGATGGTAGATAACATGATACAAAAATTTGAAAAGAAATCGTTACCTCTTTTTGAAAGTTAAAAAGGGGCGGAGCTTAATGTCATAATTAAAAAATATATATACTTGTGCACATGTCTGGATTAAGCAATTAAATGTCAGATCTAAGCTAAATTAGATCAATAAAAAATAAGGTCAGTGGTTGGTTGGAGGTGGGTACTAAAATCATATCTTGATAAATTGACACTCTATACATATCGGCGGCGAAAATATTGTAACGGAATTATATAATTATTATAAGGAGTAATGTGGAGTAATGGATAGCGTCTTGGAAGCGCAGAGCCGAGTTCGAATTCCAGTCGAATCCATTATATTCACTTACGTGCTAATACCTTTGGGAAAGGTATGAATCCTCTTCTTCTCCCTCCAGCTATGGGTGAAATAGCAGGACAGACTTGGTTCTATAGCCTTGGATGGCAACTGGTCTAGGAGAAGGACAACTCTGAATTCAAAACCTGCGGAGGGTTGTTTGGGAACCTTGTGGCACTTCGTGCACCAGGTCTCTGTATTCGTCCCTACAAAAAGTGTGCATGGTCATGTACGAGGCCTTCACCACTATAATCAAATCTCATGTGTCGTTGTCGGGCTGTCGGTTTCCTGGAAACTGGTCTGTTTGACCCTCATACGTCGAAATCGACGGGAGATTCGACTATATATATATATATATATATATATATATATATATATATATATATATATATATATATAAGAAATGGACCGGACATTATTTTAAGACATTTTTTTATGTTTATATCTTTTTATAGATACAAATATTTAAGTAAATGCTTTGTTTATAATAAACAGTATTAACAACATTTACTGGCCTGAATATCTGAGAAATTTTCATAGAAAATATGCGTCCTCCAACAGGAATCGAACCTGTATTCTATACGGAAGCTTCATATAGCCTAACCTGCTTTACTGATTGAACTACAGAGGAGCGTTTTGTTTAGTTTAGTTTTACTTTTTTAAACTACAATTCTACAACAGTAAAATCGACCTTGCTAACCGAAACGTTCCTCTGTGGCTCAATCGGTAAAGCACGTCAGGCCATATGACGATTCCTTTTAGGATACAAGTTCGATTTCTGTCTGAGGACGCATATTTTCTATAAAAATTTCTCGTACATTCAGGCCGGTAAATTTCGTTAATACTGTTTATTCTAGCACTAGCACTGGAACAAGGAATGCGATATGCCGAGAATGATATTAGAAAGATCAATAAAATTGCAGAAGGATCTATGCATATGTTTCGCAGATTATGCAAAATCGTTTAAGTACCTCACAAACAAATGTTGGGATTGCCTAGTATCCGTGGAAACGATATTCGAATAATAGAGAACCTATACTGTCAGAAAAAAACACAAAAATAAAACAACAAAAAACTCCTTCATATGGACAGAAAACGAATTTAGTAATTATGGAAAAAAATTATTCAGCGTGTACAGTAAGGCGATTTTGAGAGAATTAGAAATCCTACCAGGATTCATTATCGGTGACTAAAATCTTAACAACATAAGTTATACAGATGACACAGTATTTTTAGCATACACAGGAAAGAACTCCTACAGATGGTAGTGAAAGAAAGCGAGAAGAAAGAATGAAACATCAATTGCCAGAATATTACATCAACCAGCATCAAACATTTAGTATGAAAATAACGATAATCAGAAAATACGCAGTCAATTCGCGAAATCTCCTGACGAGTGGTCCAAAACATTTCCAAAAGGTAATCAGCAAAACTCTGGAGTGAGTCAGTGTGCTGAATAAAAAATCAAACAAATTTTATATTTGTATCAATCCTATATATATATATATATATATATATATATATATATATATATATATATATATATATATATGTGTGTGTGTGTGTGTGTGTGTGTGTGTGTGTGTGTGTGTGTGTGTGCCTGTATTGGTGACTAAAATCTTAACAACATAAGTTATACAGATGACACTGTATTGCTAGGATACACATGAAAGAACTACTACAGATGGTAATGAAAGAAAGCGAGAAGCAAAGATTAACCAGCAGTTGCCTGAAGGTAGAATTCATGGTTGCTCGCAAATGGAAAAACCCAGCATGCAAATTACAAATTGGAGATACCAAAGTCAAACTAATACAACAATTTAAATACCTGTGACGTGTTCTGTAACAGAGGACATAAAACGCGACACTGAAATCCGAAGAGGCATTGGGATAGCGAATAGTAGTAAAGGATTCAGAAACAGGACCATTTCGTTAGAACAAAGATAAGAGTACTGAAGGTTTACGTAATATCAGTCCTCCTATGAAGCAGTGATAAAGGAATTTGAAACAACCGAAATGTTGTTCTCTAAAAGGATACTGACAATACGAACATGTAATGAACGACGAAGTTTTAGAGAAAATGATAGCGAAAAGGACACTTACAATAATCAGAAACAGGCAGATGAAATTTGTAGAGCACATAGTGATGAAAGAGGGCTTGGAAAATGTTATAGACATAGGTCAGATTGAAGGCCAGACAGACAGAGGAAAACAACGCATACCCTACCTAGCAAGCTTGCGTAAATGGATGGGAGAATGGGTTAGGAGAGATAATAAAAAGACAAGATTTATTAAGAGCTACAAGGAGCTATGATCGCCTATATCCTGAATGGACACAGCACATATAAGAATAATATCACATCAACCAGCATTAAAACATATTTAATATAAAAGTAATGATAATGAGAAAATACGCAGTCAATTCGCGATATCTCCTGACGAGTAGTCCAAACCATTTCAGAAAGGTAATTAGCGAAACTCTGGAGTCGGTTTTTTGAATAAATAACCAATCCTGTAAGTGACAAATTTTATATTTGTATCAATCATATATATATATATATATATATATATATATATATATATATATATGAATAACCAACACATCCTACATGTGTACATACATACACCTGCACCTACAAGCGCACACACTTATACACACATAGGCACAAAAAGAAATAAAAATCAACCTGACACCAATAAAAAGCGCATAAAATATTTTAAAAATATTTTTCTAACTTAATATAAAAATATACGAAATTGAGAAAATTAGAGATTTCTCCTGTCGCATGAACCGAAACATTACACAGAGTATCGTCTACGAAAAACTGAATTAAACAGGTTCAAAGCCTCAGAAATAATAAAAATCCTAATCAACAATACTAAAATCCTCTACAAAAGCAAATGCAAAAAAAGATTACAAATTCTTGAAGGCATTATAATTAAAAAACAAAATCCTAACATAAATAAAATAGCATTTTACACTAGCAGAAATCATATTAAACATATTTAATCACAAATACTCGAAATAATAAATACCAATTGCTAATAAACTAATCCAATAACACTGCCTAAATATCAAAAATATTATCTATAAAAATAAAATAATAAACAACTTACTTAATCCGAAAATACAGCCATGATGACGGTTGACGACAACCAAAAACTGTCGGCAAAATACCCAATGACTAGGCTTATATTTTCAGTAATAATATGTGTGTATATATATATGTGTGTGTGTATTTATATCAGACAAATATATATATATATATATATATATATATATATAAGTTACGAAGAACTTGGTAAACCGAATGGGTAATTCCAAGGAGGATGAAATCCTGAGAGCTCAATGTGAATCCAGAGCTAATATTTAATGAAAAAACAGACCACTTTAAGGTACCATTACAATAATTTATTTCACCAAAATCCTTTTTAAAGGACTCCGGATCATCAGGTAACAATTCCAACAATATTTAATATGTTCTTGATAAATGTGCTAATAAAAATAGTTGTTAACTTATATTAAGTCCCTAAACTATTTACTTAAAAATAAAAAAAAATAAAAATTCATCAATTTGTAGACATCTAAATTTCTATCAAGCATTGAAATCTATCTTTTACATAATTTTGTTAAAACAAAATTACACCCTCTTTCGATTCACTTCCCTCCCCCCTCTCTATTTGCCGTAACAGTCATTTATATATATCTGTATTACTGTTGTCTGTCTCCTCTCTCTTTTCCATTGTCCCTTTTTTTTCTCCCCACTCCCCTTCCATTCCTATATATCACTTCCGTTAAGTTAACCGTCTAAATAGGTCAAGGTTCAGTCACTCCTCCTACCCCAATATAAAGCATACTTAAGAGAGATATGAAATTAACCCCTCCCTATACTCTACCTTGTCTCTTTAACTGCAATTCTCACCCCACCCCTGTTAAATTACAAAAATTACACTATCCATCAATTTCTAATCCCATTTTTCCTTTCATTTCGTTGTTGGAATTGTTACCTGATGATCCGGAGTCCTTTAAAAAGGATTTTGGTGAAATAAATTATTGTAATGGTGCCTTAAAGTGGTCTGTTTTTCATTATATATATATATATATATATATATATATATATATATATATATATATATATGTGTGTGTGTGTGTGTGTCTAAATCCCATGAAAATATCGAAAAAATCGAAATATACGTGTTCTGAAAGAATTTCTCCTTGATGTTGGTAACATGTAACCAAGTACCACCATATCTCATGATACTCGGTGATGATATGTGTAGTGAAAATTTATACTTTTGTTTAGACGTCTTGACGATCCAGCATAATATATTGACAACCCACTCTGTGAGACATTAGTTTGATTTGAAATGTTCTTTTATGGCCAGACATTATTAAACGGTATATGACTCAACACATTCATATATACGGAAATAATAATTTCTAATTTCTTATAGGTACGTATTAGTTAATAGTCCAGGATGTTTGAGCCTACATCATTCCCCGTGTGTTTGAGCAGGGATTTACAAGCTATGAAAGCCTTTTCATCTGAAAGTGTAATATAATCCTTGCACGATAATTTTCTATTAAATTTTACGTTCTGCACTAATTTTTCTTTCATGAATGCAATGTATATGTCTCGTTGTCAAAATCTTTTCTGGTTCTGATATATAAATCTACAGTAAGTAAATTTACATCTATTTCTCATTTAATACAAATGGTTCAACACCTGGATTCCACACGTATATTAGAAAAAAATCTCTTTAAAAAAATTTACTAATTTCTTTGCGTAATGAAACGGATCGAGTTCAAATTCCAGTTTATTCTGTCGCATTCATTTTCGCACTGTTGACTTTGGAAAAGGTATGAGGGCTTTCTCTTCTTTATCCAACCTAGCTATTGACTGATAAATGGGTTCTATAGGGTTGGGTGGCAAAAAGTCTAGGGAAAAGAAAACTTTGAATTTCGTACCCTAGAGAAGACAACAAGGAACAGATCCACTATCTGTCTCATGATAATCCATGACTAATAAAGAAGAGGCTGTGGAGAATTATGATCGCCTACATTCTGACGGAACACCGCATTAAAAAAAATACGTGTGCAAAGTATCCAACATTGGCTTTTTGAAAACTCGTGACTGATTACGTGGTAACATTTTTAAAAAATTTAAAAACTGATAACGTTTACACATAGGAAACAAATTACGCACGGAGTCCCAGACACAGACCTCCACATACAGGCACATACATGAACACACACACGCACTCAAACACACGTGGGCTCACTCGCTAACACACACACGCACAGTTATTTAAACGCTGAGAACGTTTGCATATACCCAGCACTCACATGCATAGATAGATCCACACACACAGGCACACACGCATACGCTTATTTACACGCAATGAACATTAGCACATACCAAATACTCACACACGCAGACCCATTTCCCCAACCCACACACAGAAATATACATGAACAGACACACACATTTATTTAAATGCTGAGAATGTTTGCACATACCTAATACGTACACACAGAGACCCAGACACAGACACACGCAAGCGCGTACGCACATACACACAAACACAAAAATTCACACTTATTTAAATGCTGAGAACGTTTGCATATATCTAACCCACACACGAGCAGAGACAGACCCCTCACATACATGCATTTATTTAAAGACACAGACACATTTAACTAAACGCTGTGAACGTTTGCACATACCTAAACTGACACACATAGACACATGAACAGACATACACCTTATTTGTACGTATCTTACACGCACACAGAGATCCTGATACTAACCCACCACACGCAGGCACATACCTGAACACACATACACACGTTTATTTAAACGCTAAGAACGTTTGCACATGCCTAACAATCACACACAGAGACCCAGACACAGAACCCCCCCACAAGGCACGCACAGTTACTTACATGAACACACACACACACACCACCCATTGCATCTGATTTTGCACTTCCTCTTTTCCTTTTATATATCTTCATACTTTTGTTTCTTTCTTTCCTTAGGCAAATCTCCAATCTGTTTACAACCATTATTTCCATTTCATCACACTCACACATTTTTCTTCCTTTTTTTTATCATCTTCTGCATATATAATCATAGAGTTTACATTCTCTGTCAGCCTTCTTCTGCCGCCATATTTCATTCATCCAATCGTTCTCTGGTTCTTTCTATATCTCTCTTTTCCTCTTTTTTTGCCAGATTGAGGCAAGTTCAATCTAATCTTCTTTCTGCTAGCTTCATACTCACCCGTTTTCGAGATCATTCCATGGTGGATATACGGCTTATCTCAATAACCAAACAGGCGGTACGAACCATCCAAGCGCTTACTCCAGCTGTTATCGTATTTCTTGAAGCAGAGCGTAAATTCGCTTCAAAACTTCGCCTTTCCGAAATTATTAACCATTCGCCAATCATTTGCTATTGAATGGGACGCCATCTTTGCGAAACTTAGCTATCAATATGGCATCTGGCTACAGAATCGACCGTCTCTTCAGAATACACGAACACTTTCCGTTCTTTGCATTTCTGTCATGCAAACCGTTTGACAGTCAGACGCAGTATGAATATTTGTCAAAAGAAAAGACCTAGGCCAAACTTGGTACTTAGATTTGACGGTTTCGTTTAAAACCAGTTTGTAAATACACAGGTGAAATAGACCAATTCAATTTAATTATAGTTTTACTCTTTGTTTAATGCCATAGCAATTTATGATATAATCGATTATAAATCCCCGTTGGTTTTTGTTCATTACCTGCAATTTGCCATGAATTTTGGGAAAGATAGAGAAGTTTCCCGTTGCTTTCTCTACAGTTTGAAATTCATAGGTTTTTTTTATTATTATTTCATCCCAAGCCACTCAGACGCAAGGGTTTACTAAAAGAAATAGAAAGGACTATAAAAGAACAGGTTTCAAGGAGATAGATAATGACGGCTAACGTTGCATTTAAATTTTGGAAGATTATAGTTGATAGAAAAATAAAGCAGCAAAAAAAGAGTTCCAGGACGAGGAGTGTGGGAGAAGAAACTATTAGCATAGAACTTACGGTTACATCTAGCAATTCCAAAAGCAAAATTAAGAGATCTAGCTGTCAATCTAGTAATCCGTTAAAATCTGTGAAGTCCGACTACTATGGAGGAAAGTTCATCAGAACAATTACAGTTAAAATATTTATAGAAAAGGGAATATAAAAAAAAGGATATCAACTTTCTGGCGATAGGAAATAGAGTGAATCGGAGATGCCACGTCTAGACCGATGATATTGTTAATTTTTCCTTGTATTTTATCAGCAATCTCTGGATATATAGCAGAAACATCAGATCAGATGAGGCAGCAATTTTAAATGCACGAACGAAGTGTAGACATACTGGCGAGAAAAATTATCTGACACGACATACTGAACATTCTTTCCGAACTGAAGACTTAGCAATTGATTGAATCCGTCCCAGTTTATGTCCGTGGTAAACCTTAGAATGTGAAGATGCAATGTGTTGCGCTCCTGGAGCTTATCCTCAGACATAAAAAAATACTCTGCAAAAAAACAAAAAAACAAAACAAAACAAAAAAAACGTTTTTCTAAAATGATTAAAAGAAAACGTTCGTTTTTTGGAGGCGTTAAAATTAACAAGATATTTCATGCTCCAGTTAACAAGCGACTCAAATTAATTTTAGAGATCAGCTAAGAATTTGATTTTAATGAATCTACCAGAATTACTATTAAAACAAGAGTAAATTGTTGCGTCATCACTACAGATGCCGAATCGGGAATATCTGATGAAAATTAGGAACAAATTAGGTGCAAGAATAGAGTCTTGACGTACACCCAAATTAATGCAAAAAGTTCTCCTCTTATATTGCTTACCACCCAAGACTATTTAATCCTTACCCAGGGAGAAAAGAGATGTATTTTCGAAAGTTAACGGAATCGAATAACCTGGAATTTGAACTCGGATTTCCGATTCTACCTTCTGCCATGATAACATTTATACTATCCTTCATGCTCATTCGTCTTACTTTACAATGTAATTTAGATCAAGACTTATAACGAATGTTAATATTTGATAGTGTTCAAAATGTAATTTGTTTCAGAGTCATTCATAGGCAGCATATGTCCACTTTGAATTAATATCTTTGATAATGCTACCCGTTCTTTTATAAAAATAAGGCATGTCCTTTTTATGAAGATGAATTCAGTTATTGCAGGAATTTACTTTTAGGCAGACCTCCGAGAAGATGGTTCCCTGACTACTACAGTATTAGCATCTTCAGGTTCAATCGATATCTATCCTGCTCGTCGACACAATATGTTTTCTTATTGCCTCCTTCCCCTCTCGATTTAGAGCACATTCCCCTCAGTAACACTCTACCTTGAGTAGCTCATGGGTCTTGTATTGGGTTAACTATACTAAAAACAAAACAACATCTTTAAGATATGATGAGCAAAATTTGCTCTATGGCGGATTAAAATGATAAATCATAGAACAAGGAACAAAACTGTTATATTCGGCCAATAGACAACATTCATAGAAGTTTACTTGAATGCCAAATTCATTGCCAGCGAGAAGTGTTTGTTGAGATGTTTTCTCATATAAGACGTGGTCTAATTTAATACACGGATTTTTTATTGTATGAAAATAAAATTTAAAAGTGGAGATGTATCTAGCTGTTTATCTATCTATGTATCTGGATGTCTTTCTATAATTATATTGCTTAAAAGTTGCTACATTTGTGGGGGAAAGAAATGCTCCATATCGGAGATAGAGCATTGCACATAAATTCACTGTCATCAGAGAAATGAACACTGTGTGGTGACATTCATTTTTAAACTTCAGGATCACTTCAGGCGGAAACTGTCATTATGTCATGCTAATTTCTCAGTCCACACACTCTCATTTTACACACACACACACACACATATTTATTTCAACTACCCCATACGTTATTTATATATATTTCATACTGCACCATACGTTATTTTGTGGATACTCAAGTTAGAATACACGCCCTGCTTTTATAAACAGTGTAATACTAAAAAGTTTGTCACACCAACCCACACACACACACACACACACACACGCACACACACACACACATATATATATATATATATTTAAAATATTTTACATCGTGACAGGAAAATTCCTGTTTTGGAACTTAAATCTGTTCCATTATCAAGCGATACTGAGTAACCTTTGATGAACATGACTTGCCTTTGAAAACAGAATGTTATTCCATTTAAAAGTTAAGAAGGAGGGAGGAACAAGATTTTTTAATTTTTTATGGGTGTGTCTTCTCTGACTAATGAAAAGTCAGGTCAAATCTAAAACAAAAAATGAAAAAATGTAGGTTAGATGTAAATTATTTAAACTTGTCCCGATGAACCGTCATTTTTAGACGTGTTACCAATATTATCCGGCTAAGAAAATGATTTTTAGTTACAATGAAATAATTAGATTGCTGTGTATCCAACAAAAGGTTAATTTTAGAATTAAAAAAAAATTGTTTATACATTAGAACTATCTTAAAGGAGCTTCTAGTAAGATTAAATCAATTTTATATATTATATTATTTTTATACTAAAATATTTTACTTATTATATTCAATGGGCCATAGGACAGCAATATTAAAATTAAAATCAAGGAATGAAATATATATTTTATGTACTGTACTTTAATATAATAAAATAATGGATATATAATTGTAGCATATACGTTGTTTTAGAAGAAATCTATTAACTATAGTTTTAAGGTAAACATTGTACAAAGCCTACATATTACTGATAGTTAATTTCGTTGATTTAATAGATCATTATCTTTAAGAAACTTAATAATATGTAGCTTTTCATGTAGACACAGAGGACATGTGTCATTTATTGACTTACAAAATCTAATTTTTTTTTTCCATTTTACTCTGTTCTTTTAATACCAGAACTATTTTGAGAGAGATGTTCGGTTTCGGTACCCATTGTTGTTAAAATTAAAATATGTTGGTACCATCTTAAAAGTTTAAAATATTTTTGTGCTTCCAATATAAAGTTTCTTAACTTCTGGGTTTTCAGTAGATGAAATGGTCCAATGGTAAAAAAAAAAAAAAAAAATCATGGTTCAGTGCTATGATTGTACTTCTTCAGGTAATAGGAGATAACTTGTGACAAAAATGATTTATTAGGAAAATTTAAAAACAATTCGTTACCTCTTTTCTTCCGTAATATTATATTAATATTTTGATCTACTTTGTATTGAGCATTTTTTTTAAAAGTAAATGCTATGAACTGTGAATTTTTACTCCATCTATTCTTTCGCCCATATATATATATATATATATATATATATATATATATTTGGTTGGATAGATGTGAGTTTGTGACCCTGGGTTTCACGCTTTAGTGATCGTCAGACAAACTGATTAATTTTTTTAAAAATTTGGGTTTATGTAGATTGCGTGTATTTGGTGTTATTGTGGAAGTGGTGGGGGAAACTTCGTCGTTTTGTCATCGTACTAATGCAAACATCGATGTATGCAGACACATATACATACTTGGTCGTCCGTCGGGACTCATACATATATAAACATATGTGGGCAGTTTCGGATATGACACATGTATGTATATGGGTGGTGTTGTGTCTATACATACGCATTTGTATGTTGAAATTTAAAGATTGGAAGTGTGGCGGAAATGCCTCGTGAATGTCTCGTGAATGTATACATGTCATATTATTTATTTTTCCGCTGAATAAAAAATTAATCAGTTTGTCTGACGATCGCTAAAGCGTGAAACCCAGGGTCACAAACTCACATCTATCCAACCAAATATGTTAACTCTATCTCTGATATTGAGCGCTTTCTAATAAGTACCGCGCATATAATATATAAATAATTATACATATATATATTTATCTATATTTATATACACTTTTCACACACACACACACACACACACACACACACACACACACACACATATATATATATATATATATATATATATATATATATATATATATATATATATATATTGCTTACGTTTACAAAAAAAGGTACGTCCATAAACATTTGTAGAAAGATAATGACGATAAGCATTAATGAACATAATCGACATAACCATAAATGTGATTAAATTTTAAACATGTTTTCCTTTTTTGGCAATGCACTTAATTCCCTGTTGAATGTTCACAAACATCATTTATTTTTGTAATGAGACCTTGTCAGTCTGAGACTCATATATTCTTATAAATCTCCATTAGCTACATCTTTAGAGTAGTCAGAAATAATAAACTTTTAATGGATCAAGCGAGTCGCTCGGCTTCTGTGATCCAAGGACGACAGATACTAATTGG